TCATATAATTCCCCTCTTTAATAAAGTCTGCTAGAGGTAGATGAAGATAAAATAACCGCCAAACGTAAGGATTAAGATACTGCAAATAAATTCTAACCTTATCAATCTAGTGAACATACACTTTCACCCGATTTACTAAGAGCACTGACATTCCCAAATTAAGGCAGAAGTAGGTGCCACCTCACACACTTTAGTCACCTTGAGAAGGTCCCGAGAGGACTATCTGTTGAATAAAGACTGCCTACCTAGAACTGCCTGGACAACTCTGGGCCTTCCCTCCAAAACGATGACGACTGCAAAATCTGTGGACCTCACAGAATGTAACCCTTGGGAAAGGGTGTGGGAGTTGAATACAGAAGAGAGAAGATTGTAATACTGATGTCACTCTTCACATCATTACAGATGGTGAGCTTTCCAAAGATTTCTCTGAGAATAGCTTTAGCATGGGTATCTGCGTGCGCTGGCTGCAAAATATTGGCCATTACCACAAATTCAGAGATTTTATTAGTCTCACAAGTATTTACAAGATCTCATGGAAATCCTTGCTTTTGGCATAAAAAAAAATTATAAAGCAGTAACAGGTTTTCTAAAACACTAATGACTTCATTAATGTTCTGACAGATCAAAAGAAAAATTTATGATGAACTGTTTAGATCTGATTTCCTACTTTTCCACAGCTTGGCCTGTGGCTTCAAGTTTTCCAATGTATCCTCTTGTCTCACTCCACTAATAATTTTACCTAATACCTTCAGCTGAAATTTATAAATGTATCAAAGCCAAGCACGTACATAAGAAAGCATACAAGAACGAGGAATGAGTTTGGTGGCCCTTTTTAAAACAACTAAACAAAGCACATTTCCTCTTCATTATTCATCAGACAAAAAGGAGCAAGTATCATTACACACTAGAACATCTGCATAAAAGTGCCTCCAAGTTTCTTCACAACAGTAATACTGGCACGATCACAATGGCACGATTCCTTCTTCTCTCTATTATAACAGTAGCCATAATGATCTCATTTAATAGACAAAAATCATAATTACTTCTGCAAAATTTCCATAGCAATTGTTACGTGTGCCATTTTCTTTTTTAAGTTACCATTTAATGAAAATAGTCAGATGGACTGCGATGGCAAAAACCCGGCATCTTACATAATTCAATTTGTTGTGTTTAGTTAAAGAATAACGATCCTGGCAGTTAAACTAAAAACAGTTCTAAATCATTGAAGCAATTCTGTGCATTCCACAATCAATGCATTTAAATGTTTGCTCTCCCTCACAATGTTATTGATCTCCAGAAAACCTTGCTTTATGGACGCTGAACCAATTTACTCTTGCTGCCTTCCTGCTCGCTAAGCTTGAAGTGGGTATAAGCTAAAATGCCTAACAACGTGCACAGAATTCCAAGGCCTTGATTTACAGACAGTGGATCCTTAAATAAGAGGCACCCTCCAAGGAGGGTGATGCAGAACTTGAAATGTCCAAACATATTATACCTAGATATCTGTTAAGGATAATAGCAAATATCATTTTTGGTAAATAGGAACACTTAGGAACTTCAATAATTATGTCCAAAGCAAGCAATGCTATGTCACATTCATGCAACTTTCTAATATCTCTGCAGCTCTGAGAATTAACCTCCACGTTAAACTTTTCACCCATCATACACTACAAACTCACTGGCACACCAACACTTCCTCAAGGCAGCCAAAGTATGGGTGAATACTCTTTACAGGTATGAAGGTCATGTTAGCAAGCTAACTGCGCTTATTTATACAAATCAATAACTGAGAAACAAAATACACCAGGACAGGAACGTGCTTTTCCAGTTTCAATATATAAGACAAAGCAGGTAGGTAACCAACTAATTTTCCCACAGTAAATCAATCTGAATGAATGCTTAAAAAATTCATATGGAAACAAGAGAAGCAACTAATATTACAAAGGATACGTGACAGGTGACGTATTTCCAATGATCCAGTAAATGGACAAGTTTACCATAAAGGCTATTATACCCGACAGCAGTACCATTATCTGTGGATTAATGGACACAGTCAGTAATCCAACATACTTTTGGCCATCTGCAGACACATTCCAAGTTATTTAGTTTGGTTCCTTTACTTTCATCAAAAGCAAAATAACAGCCAAGAAAAACAAATTGCGAACAAAAATGAAAACAGTTTCAAATCAGTACAAACACAGGTGATGCCTGTGAGTAGCTCAGGGTATGATGCCCAAAAACATATACTGCTATAACTACAATCTTTTCTCTCTTACCATCTATCTACATTTAAGAGTGGCTTGGAAAATTTAGCTACTCTTTCACATGCAGAAGTTGTATTCTTTACCTTTCAGGCAAAATAAGAAATACCTTTCTTATTCATGGTCACAAAAAAAATTGTACTGGAAAAAGATCTAATTTTATTATTGCAAATACTTGCTATTCTGTTCATAAACTTCAGCGCTACTAGAAATGACCTTGCACCCATCATTGAGTGGCATGATCAGCAGTGGTTGAGAATACGCCAGGCTCTTTTTCAGTGACATCAAAGACAGAAAGATAAGGACAGAAATTACAGCCCTCTTGGCTAAAGTAAACTAGTAATGCTGGAGAATAACCAACGTTGGCATCTTTCTACAGAAGAGAAGTTGGGAGTATCGAAAGTGAGCGTGCTTATCTCTTTTCTGAGTGGACAGTGAGAGCTGGAACCTGGGCATTTATATATTTTTAATTTAATATACTAGGACAAGCTCCTGGGTTTTATCAAATTTTCCTGCTGTTCAGATGCCCTCTAAACAGAAATCAGAATAAGGATGTACATCAATTGACAGAAACTCATCTAAGAGAAAGTGGTGCAGAAACAACAAGGAGCTTTTTCTCTTTCTACATACCCCTCTCATCTCATTATAGTCAACAATTGTACAAAGAATCTGTTTTGCATAGAAACAAGATTTAATATCAATTTTTAAATGTAAATTCCTCAATAATAATGATTAAGAATTTTTTTTTTTTAAATTCTTACCACAGCAGAAAGTGTCCAGGGCCCAAATATGCCCCCTTCTCCAAACACTGGCTCAAAGAAGGGTATGATGCAGAACAACATAGCAGAGGACATTGGTGCCTGATAGTACAGCAACTGCATAGAATTTACCTGCAACTCATGTTGCTTAGCTCCTACCCACTAAAATCAAAAGAGAAAATTGTTAAACGTAAGGAAAAAAAAACAAACAACCAAACAAACTCTTGAGCAAAATCAAATTAGTCACTAATACATCATGTGTGCAATACTATATGACAGGAAAGGACTGTTGAGCATTATCTTCCACCTTTGCCTAACCAGAGGCCCATGTTTTTGTTAGACTTTGGTGAGTAAGTGGTGGGATGCACTCATGTAAGGAGGAAAAAGAATGCAGTGAAGACCTCCTTCCAGGCAAATGCCTAGCACCTCATCCTTCCTTTTCCCATAGCCTGGGGATAAGGACAAAAAAAATAGTAGTAAAACTGGGAAAAAAATGACAGCTCCCTTTTATTCTCGTAATAAATTCCAAATCCTATCTACCACAAAGCTGAATACCTTTGCCTAAGCCAAGCAAGCAGTACTGCAGGGACTACCCTTTACTCAACCTTCTTTATATGTTGCATTATGAAATAAATAGCATGCTTATTAATATTATGATTGCACATATCAATTTAAGAGATATTAAACTGGCACATATTTGAACAAAGCATAATTTACGCTGTTTTTCAAAGTAATAAATTTACTTTCACAGACAAAATATTGCAATTTATTCTTAGGAATACTTCCAGAGCTATATTAAAAAAAAAAAAAAAACTACGAAACACGGTGACTTTTGTTTCTCTCGTATTTCCCCCTCATGGAAGCTAAAAAAACAGTAACCATTTGTCTTACTTTTCAGTTTGTTCTAAAGTTGCTGAATTCCATTTCAGTATTGATTGTAACTTGGATTTCCAATATAGCATGCTTTAAGAGTCAGCATTAGCTATGTATAGTTACGAGATAAATTTTACAGGCAAAAAAGATGCATCTTAATACCACCCTGAAGAATAAGCCTAACATTAATATTTCAAATGTATCAGTAACAGCGCATCCTGTGTACACAATCTAAATCTGCTAAGTTTTCTGAAAAATTACAGGTAAATTTCACTCAAGTGCTAACATTTCTCCAGCACACATGCTATTCTATCCTCTCAATTTATTTTGCAGCCTCTCTCTCCTCCTTAGCCCAAAACAGGTCAAGAGGCATCTTGTACACTACAGGTCAAAGAGCCTCGCCGCTTCTGGAGGCACAGTGTACCTATTGCAAAGAAATTCAGGCTTAATTTGATGATGACTACCACATCAACATGAAAGGGAACTCTAATTCGGGAAGCTTTTAAAGATGCGGTAGGTAACGAGCTGCATAGGAGCTCTAGTAAAACAATACAGCCCAATGGGCTAAGGTAACCCTTGGATGTATCTATTTTTCTTTTAACTGGAACCAAACAGAAGGGTTATATCACGTCTATATTTGGCATTAGTGCAACCTCTACAGAAATACCTCAGATTGTCGAGTTTGAAATAGAGGAAGGATGGAAATACCTCAAGGATAAACCATGAGAATTACCGAAGGGCTGGAAAACATGCTTTACAGGGACAGCCTAACCAAACAGAGAGGTTATATTGTGTCTACAGTTGGCATTTGGTGCAACCTCTATGGAAATACCTGACTGCCGAGTCCAGAATTGGCAGGGGACGTCGATGAAATGGAAATAGCTCAAGGATAAGCCATGAAAAGAACCGAAGGACTGGAAAACATGCCTTATAGGGAAAGGCCCAACTGCAAGGTACTTAGTTTAGTAAGGAGGAAAAAAAAAAAAAAATCAATGCTCTCTCGAACCAAGGGGTTTTTATCGCTGAACCGTTCTTCACCCTTTTAAAACACGTTCAGGTTAGATACCGAGGACAACCCATCCCCGAAGCGACTCCTCACGGCCTGCGGGGGGGGCTCACCGCCGATTTTCTTCCCGGCGGGGCAGGGGCTGCTTGGTTTTAAAGCCAGAGCGCGGTCCACAGGGGGGGTCGGCCCAGGAGGAGCCCGGCGGCAGGTGACACCGGCGGTCCGAACGATGCCCTTGGGGTCTGCGCCCCGCCGCCCCCCCTCCCCGCCCCCAACGGAAAGGAGAGGAGCCGTTACCAACCACTTGGTAGAGGGAGGTGACGAGGACGCCGAGGGCGGCGAACACCATCCCGACGAAGCTGAACTTCACGTCGTAGTACGAGTTGAGGAAGACGCCCAGGGTGATGGGGAGCTGCAAAGCCGAGGAGCCGTT